GTTGGTCGGAACCTTGCAATTCACAATTCGCCACGTCAGTCTGTTCGGCTCGATCCGCGTTCATGGCCAGTACCGCAGATTCGCCATTATCCAGCGATGTAGCTGGAGACCCAGACTCCCCCATCCGAGTGGTAGTGACGCCGTCTCAGTCGGCGTATTTTGCAGGCGAAACTTTGTCCGTCACTATTACTTTTACCAATACTCGTATTCGGTCGCCTAGTGAAGGAGCAACGTTAGCGGAAGTACCTTCCTCTTCGAAACTCGTACCCTCCCGTTCGGCGAGCAAGACGCATAAACGTGCCTCGCATTCGGTTAGCTCTGCGCCTATTGCGAAGCCTCCGACGTCCCCCGCTGGTCTGTATAGGCCCAGAACACCGACGACGGCAGCTGTTGATTCTCGGCCTGGCTCTCCTTCGGCAAATGTACCGGTTTCGTTGGGTCTGGCATCGGATGGGACGCCGATGCGAAGGAGGGGGTTGGTAGGGAAGAAAATTGGCTCGACGACTTCGGTGCCGGATTTGGTTGAGCAAAGGAGGAAGAAGATGTTGACAAAGTCGCTGTCGTTGACGATTGGTGCGGAGGAAGGGGGCTTCGAAGGTGAAGATGGTAAAATTGTGAAATCAGCTTCGTATACTCAAAGATCGTTTACTGCTGATTCGTATCTGCGTGCGTGTTTTTCTACTTTTTTCCTTTGAGCTCAATGAGCTGATTTAACTCCGCAGCTCCGACTTCGCCCAGAGTTTCTTCACCTTTAGCTCGCTCAGAGACACTTCCGCTACCCTCAAAACATCCTCATGCGAGGAAACAGTCTGTGATGGATGGAAGTACCTTCCCGTATCCCTCTACTCCTCCCTTCGTTAACGGGAACGAGCTTGTGACGTCCCCAATCTCCCCGACGAGTGCTACTAGTACCATTAGCACAGCTAATACTTTGCCTTCCGTTGCTTCTCCTGTTTCAGGGCCTGCTACACCATCCGCATCCTCATCATCATTTTCCCTTGCGCTAGACCCAATAGCTGAAGTTTCGCCTACTGTACCCGCCTACCCGTACCTCGCGTCCTCTGTCCCAGCCTCCGCCTCCGCACTAGGTCCGGCATTATCTTCTCCTTCGATAAACGTTGAAGCTCCCTCACCTCCGGCTTCGACAACCAGACAGCCCCTGCCGCCTCCATCTTCGTCGAATAAGCAATCTCCGCAACCCCCATCTTCCAAACCAACCTCCTCTCGCCAGATCAACCGCCCTCCAAATATCGGTCTCGGGAGACCGAATACGCGGATGTTTCTTGATCTCAACAAGAGCAACGCCGAGCTCATTCTGTACTCCTATGCTCAATTAAAAGGAACGGTCACTCTCACTCCGCTGCCATCCAACAATGTTTCTTCATCCTCCTCGGCTAAATCCTTAACGTCTCCCCGTGCTCCTTCTCAATCACCCTCGTTACCGTATCCTTCGTCCCCTTCTGCACCACACTTAGCGCAGGCGGCGTTACCGCTTTCTGCAGCTCAAATTGAGGCTCAGAAAGTGCAAACGCTGGCAGCGTTGCGACATGCATTGATCAAGGGAAGTGCAACGGCGGTAGGTGGAGGAAGCATGGATATTACATCCAGAACGCACAGCAGGACTCCCAGTACCAGCGGAGCTGCGAGTCTCGGTGGTGGAATAGGTTCAGGGTCGTGGGGATCGTTAAGTGCTGGCCCTGTTTCGGCATACGGTCCTCTTAGTTCGAAATCGACCCTACAGACGATCAATTCGGGGTCGACGGATACGCCCAATTCACCTTCTGTCAGACGACCTCACAGCAGGTCGTCGTCGTTCTCCTCGGGTTTGTTATCGATATTCGGGTCTCCTTTTGGTTTTGGGGGATCTGGGCCGGTATCGGCGCCTGTCACTCATCCGAATAATTTAGCTGCGAGCATCAGTGCACCGGACGTTGTGACTCCTGGGGCAGGTGGTACTGGCTCGTACTCACAACAACCTCATCGGCCAACACGAAATCGTGCGGCTTCTGCTGGACTAGTTCCCACCTCTGGCTGGCCGAGTTCGACGTCCTCTCCGTCACTCAATAATCACTCCGTACCGGCAACGGCGGGTCTCGAGCCTTCTTCCTTTGGCTCGTTTCCTTCATCCCCGGCTCCTGGGTATAGTTCGGGATCAAAGTTAGGACTTGGGTTGGGGCGGCCGTTGGGATTGGCCGGACTGGGCAGTTTGTCGACGGAGGAAGTTGATCCCGAGCTTCCGCTTCCGACGTTTGAGGCGCAGTCGGCGATGTTGGCTGTTGATGTATCGTTGGAGCCTGGGGAAAGTCGGAGTTGTGCGTTGATTCTCTTCCCCTTCGTTCAAGTGCAGTGAAACTGATGATTTACACAGATGAGTATTCTATCCTTCTACCATCCAACCTTCCACCTACTTTCCGCGGACGGACGTTTCGGTTTGCGTATGAGCTGGTTGTGGGGATATGTCGTTCGGGGAGTGGGAATCATTTTTCGGTACCGGGTAAGGGCGGTGGTGGAGGGCCTGGAGGCAGTATGAGTAAGGTGATGAAGGTGCCTATTAGGATGTATACGAATGTTGTTGGTATGTTTTTGTTTCTGTTTGAATTTTTTTTGTTTCCTACTTTCTATTTTGGATGTTGGAACTCATTGTTTTTGGTGTTTAGTTGGCCGATCTCCGACACCCTACGATCTCCTGTGGCCAGTCACTAAACGCCGGTCGACGGCTGTTTTGGGTCATCGGCGTGGAGGCAGGATGCCCTCTTTGAAAGGTGCCGCGGAGAAGGATGATCCGTATGCTGGTAAAGTTGTTGAAATTACGCGGGGTTCGGTGGAGAAGGATTCGAAGGCAAAGCAGGGTGTGTTGATAACTGTTTCTGGTACGTTCCAATTAATATCTTTGAATTACTGAACATCTGAATGAGTAATCTTTGGTAGATTCGTCCTCTTCCCTATCTGCTGAATCTTCCACCCCTACCTCTGGTTCAGGATCGCTTACCGAGTTGAAGGAGTATGCGAAGCGACTTGTGGCGGAGTTGTCCGAGTTTGAGCTGCCTGACAAGAAGACTGCGACCGAAGTGGCGTTGAGGTCGAATTCGAAAACGATTTTGGAATGCGAAGCGGTGGAGGTGGAAGCGGAATCGATTTCTTCGGAGGGTTCTGTGATTTCTCCTTCTCCGTCGATTTCTGCTTCTTCTTCTTTGACGAGCGATGGACGTGGGGCTGGGATACAGCCCAAGCATGGGTTGTCGCCGCTTTTGGAGGAGGATGCTTCGTCTTCGGGTGGAGGAGGGGCGGGTTCTGGAGAAGGTGCCGAGGAAGGTAGGAAGGTTAATGGGCATGGACATGGAAATGGGAATGGGAATGCTGTTCCGATGCATATGGGGCACGCAACGCACTCGCGTACTCGCGCTCCTACTGCTACTTCTGCGGCTGAGCTTGCGTTCAAGGAGAAGGAGCGGATAGCGAGACTGAGACAGAGGGAGGAGAGTGATGAGCCTATGCCTGTGGGTGGGTGCGGTGAGGCGGTGGAGATTTTGACGAGAAATCCGAAGAAAGGTTGGTTTACTTTCTCCCTCTTTCTTGGTTCAGGATGCTGAGGAATGGGTGCTTAGTCTCATACGATGTCAACAAGGACGGAGTCAAGGTAGCTGTGTTGACTTTTATCAAGTCTGCTTTCCGTCTCGGTGAGACTATACATGGTGTAGTTGAGTTGAACGAGAGGATTGGGAGGGCAAGAGTTGTTCAGGTGACTATGAAATTTTGCTGGTTATTTGCTGAACACTATTCTAATACTTGATTTTCTTTCTTTTGTAGCTATCGGCTCATCTCGAAACTCACGAATCGCTTCCATACCCCATATCCACCACTCCCAACACACCCTCTGCTGTGCGCCAACTCAAACGCGTTCACGTCGAGCATCACTCGAGCTTTGTTCTCTCCACCCTCCGAACGACGTTCGCCCTCGACATACCTTCCGACGCTAGTCCCGCGTTTCAAATCAAAGTCGGAGATGACACCGAACATCTTCTCGGAAGTACCCAACCCAAGCCAACTAGATTTGAAGGAGGATTGGAGTGGAAGGTCCGCTTGTGCCTTCTCGTTGCTGTTGCGAAGGAGAGTTCGGATAGTGGGACTGAGGGTGTGAGGTTTAAGAGTTTGGTGAGGGATGGGGCGAGGGGAGAGTGGGGATCTGCGTGGAGGGCACCGGCGGATGCGGCGCCTTGCGAGAAGCCGGTTGTTCCCTCCTCTGCATCCTCCCCGTTGTCTCCTTCGCAGGTGCCGAGAGTGCAACAGCAGCAGCAGGGGGTGGTCCGGTCGTGGACGTCGTATCTCGCCGCTTCGTTGCTCGGTACAGGGGAGGAGGAGGGAGGGAATCGGTATCATGACGGGGATGAGTACCCCGGTGATGATGAGGAAGATGAAGACGACGGCGATATGGATGACGGTCGAACTCGGACAAGAGACGACTATCCGTTCCCTCGCGCGAAATCAAAATCGACCATGTACGATGGGATCAAGCCTAATCGTGCCGGGGGTGTTGGGGTTGGAGTGAATTTTGGTGGGGGGAGAGAGGCGAGGTGGCGGTCGGTTAAGCTTGAGACGGTGGAGTGTGAGGTTCCTGTGAGGGTTTGGCCTGGGAATACGGCGTTTAGACCGGTGGATGTGGTGTTTGATGTTTGAGTGTTTTACGGGCGGCGGGGAGAGGGGAGGGGGAGTTGTATGCGATACCTTGTTGGATGACTATACGAGTACATACGTACGTACCTACAAAGGCTCTGTTTTTCGTCGCTCCTTGCTTTTGTTTTTTTATTGCTTATAATTTTCAGGTTTTTCTTTTGTTCTACATGATATAGTCTATGTGTGTAACTTGTTTACATTGATTCGTACAATGCTACATGACTGGGCGAGGATGGATTTTTTTGTTTTCAGTATACTGGAATAGTGTGTAGCCTTGGTTTAGTTTTACATTTGGCTTCTGCAATGATACCAGAAAGACTATGAAATATGGTTCGATGGCGTAGTTGGTTATCGCATCTGTCTAACATGGTAAAGCCATTTGCATGCACAGAAGGTCCCCAGTTCGAGCCTGGGTCGAATCATAGAGTTACATGAAGGATAGTATTTTTGGCTTTCGCAGTCTCGTATTTCGGCAGCATCACCTCTTTTGGGCGCTTAGTACTTGATCTACTTCTCGACGTTCATGTAGCTCAAGCCACAGATCTCAGTCAGAGGAACAAGTAGAACGAGCTGATGATTGGTTTCTGGCCCTTCCTTATCTAATATCTTGAAATCAGGCAAACGAGCTGTCTTGAGAATCGGCCGGATCCTGTTCAGTCGAATCATCGAATTTGAAGCCTGCCTCTTTCTGCTGATGACCTCGACAACTCCAGTTGGCCTGTATTCCACGATACATCTCAACTATCTGAGTATCATTCGGCTTTGGATCATTCAGTTGCATGTGTGGGCCATTTTTCCGAGTCGTCTCTGCAAAGGACCCGCCATAGATGATTCAAGCAATCTTTCACAGTCATGTCGATAGGCTCGTAGACCTGTGCAGCTGGAATTTATACTTGCTGTCCCGCTAAGATTAATACGAGATGTACTGTGATATCTGTATCAGGAACTTCCTTAGGTGCAAAATCTAATGACTTTAATCCCAATAATGTTCAGGAAGAGATTTTCATCTGTAAAGAATAGGGGTTCGAAGATCAGTGCAATAGCTCCTTCAGCAGAAATTCTTGTCAAGAAGACTCTTACGCCCAGGCGCTAGGCACTCGTTCTCCGATTGATTTACTACGTTGTACTTGTACAGTGAGCTAGAGTTTTCCTCAAAAAGACGTTCCCTTCAATCTCGATTTTATAAGACCTGCCAGTGCGTGCAAGTTGCAAAGGGAAATTTCAGTTATAGAGAAGCCACCACATTCTATTCACTAGTCTATTCTTCATGAAACACTAAACGGCCAGTTAAGTTAATGTTCCATTCTTCTTAATCATCCTCACTCAATTTGATACTCTGGCAGAGTCTCACTCTGGACTAGTATCCCAATGTTCTCCATTGTCCTCCTCGGGTTCACCATATCTCCTCTCAAATTGGCCCCAGCATTCGACAAACTAACTTCCAAACGGCCTGCGACTGTCGCAGAGCTCTCCAGACCTGGTTGATTGTTGGCGGTAGTGCCGTTTGAGTCGATGTTATTATTCAACATGAGTACTGGAGGAAGAAGGCAGGTCGTTGGTATACGAGACGCAGAGCTTGTACCATGGCCTAAAGGCCGGGCTCTAGTGACTTTCTTGCGGGAAAGAAGATCCACTTGTCCGGGGGGCGCAGGCTGGGGCTGGACTCTAGCGACCTTTCTGGGCGGAAGAAGACGAATTTGCGCACGGGGGGTAGAAGTGGTATGAACACATGGTGATTGATGAGATTCTGTTCCACTATGAGTGAATGGCTCGATGTTGGGCCATTTTCTCCCCTTCGTGGTCCTGAACAGCCTGATAAAGAGGCCTCCCAAAGCTTTTTTGTTGTTGTGGTTCCTTACATCTCTCCCGCTAACTTGGCGGCGTCGGTAGAGAAAGATTCCGATAGTAAGAAGGACGAACACAACGCCACCGACAACACTTCCAGAGATTGCTCTGACTTCGGATTTACTCCAGGGGAAGCTGCGACCGGCAGCTTCGAACGAGACATTGATTGTTTTCTTCGGGAGGCTAAAGAACCAGGAATGAAGTTGATCATTATGTTGAATAACCAGTCAATACTTACTCGAGAGCAAGCAGAGCGTACATCGCTCCTTGGGCTGGACTGGAATGAGTAAGAAGGAAATGAATTAGCAACACCGCTGGCTTGCGTCAAAGAGTATGCAGAAGGCATACTTTGCACTGCCGCCCAATACACTCCCATCCGACGTGTTGTACATTGTAGGGAATACAGCAAAATTCTGCAGGTTGGACGCAGCAGCATGCACCATCGACACCAATGAATCCCTTGTAGATATCTCGATAACAGTTCCAGCAGTAAAAAGGGTCCAATGGGATTTAGCAGTGCTTCCTTGATTGCTGTCGAATGGTAACCCGAACGATGGGGCTAATCACTTGTGAGCAAGATTGTTCTAAATGGCTTGAGAATCCACTCGTACCTGAGGCAGCAACTTTTGAGTACCATGAACTTTGCTCAATATAGATCTAGGGGGTTAGGAACTGGTTGGTTAGGACTGGAAGGTTCTGAAAGGTCAAAACCTACTTCATCATCCACAAGATTGAATCCAAAGAGCTTATCAGGGTAAAGGTTATATAACAAACCCCAAGAGCTTGATGCACCATATGTCGAGGTCAAATGACCAGAGGACCCAGCAAGAGTCTGCCACTGAGAGACAAGAGAGGAGGCAATATTCTACATGAACAGGAATGTAATTTTGACAAATACAAGGTGTTTAGAGGAAGAAAACATACCAAATAAGTGTTAGAATCATCGAGTTCACCCACCGTGCGACTTATCTCAGCCATGGCCCGGATTGCGAGGATTCCCTTGATAGCCAGGTTTGTCATATTGACATTGCTTAATCCGTCTGCAGAGATACTAGAGAGGAAAAGGTGAACATCCGAAGTCAAATGACAAAGGACCCTCGAAGAACAATGCCTATGGACTTACAATCCATTCGGAGTCAACGGCTGGTCTGAAATAAGGGACTTGGTCCATGTTTTCAACATGGGGTACTAAGAGGGATAGCTGTTAGTAAGTCACCTCAAGCTTAAAAGATTCTGCTAGATGAAAACAGCAAACATACATAGGAAGATAACAACGACCCATCGCCACTGAAAATCGCATGCGCCCACGCCATAATCAACATATCACTCGAACTCTCCATTGCCATAGGTGGCGCTGGAATATTATTGCCGAAAGCGGATGGGAAAGTATTGCCCAAGTCTTGAGCAGCAAAATCTCTATTGTACAATCCAGATGATTCAAATTGCAAAAGTGGTTCAAGGAGATATCCTGCCCAAGATGCATTGATGTACAGAATTGCCGGGAAAGCAGCATAAAGAGTTTCAACCGGGTTCATTCGCCTTATACATCCGAGATACCGACTCGGACTTCAGATATTCATACTAGATACACAAGAACAGCTCACTGGGAATTCCCGGTATCTTTCATGAAAATGAGTGTATCGGACTCATTGACTACTTGTCCACTCGAACCGAATCCGACGGTAATTTCCATCCCAGCCATAGTTTGTCGTGAAGCCAAAGAAACCAAGTCTGAATAATTAGACGAAATCCGTTGTGCATCCGATAAGATTTTGTTATCCAAGGAGATTGCGCGCTGCAGAGCATTTGAGGCGTCGCCTATGAAATCCGACATCTGCAGAAGCCATATATTAGGAGTAAAGTAAGATTTTACTGTATGGGTGGATTGCATACCGCAGTTGGAACATCGCTGTATCTTGAGAAAAAGTACGGACGGCGATTTTGATTTCCAGCAGTAGTATTGTACACGATGTCCGGGTTTCGAACTAAGCCAATTCCCCACACTATTGGGGACGAAGTAGCTATGATGGTCCCTAGATCATAGCTAAAGGCAAAGACTGGCCAGCGGCTGAGGAGGACTGATTAAAAAATGGTAGCTCGAAAGAAAGGCTCTCAAAAAGGACTCACTCATTAATGCCACGAAAATCCAGATCTTGATTATTGGCTAGTGTGGCATTGTTAAGGAATGCACTGCGCACGATGGTATTTTGGCCAGTCTGATAAGTAACCGCGCTCTCCTGGGATCAGCGTTACTCCTTAGAAAAAAAAACAAAATTGTGTCAGAACGCACCACATTTGTAACATGGTAAATAACGCTATCTTCTGCCATATCGTTCATTTCGGTCATATATTGGAAGGGGAAACGCTGTGCTTTATGATAAATGATAGAATTCCCTTCAAGGGTATTCCATTGTATAACATTCAAAGTGTTGGAAGATACCCATTCTTATATTAGGGGAAATAATGAATTACAAGTCCCAAGCAAGAATTGAAATGAAAACACACCACCTCCAATGTCATGGTATACTTGAATTGAATGGGGGCTTCCATCCATCGAGGATGCCTCGAAATAAATATAAGTGAATGGGAAGGATTGTAAAACTAGATCATCAGGCTAAGCAAAAACACCAAAGAATCAGAATTGAAGATAAAAGCAGACAAAATATCATCCACCTCAATCGGACTAAGAAAAGTAACATTGATCGCCATGTCTCCTGCAGTCAAGCTCAAAACGGAACGGGTGGGAAAGACTTGGTAGCCCTTCAAAGTCGCAACATTTAGCTTGGCATTGTTGCCACTGAGCGTAAGGTTTGTAGGTGCGCCTAGTCAGCTGTATAGTGTTCCATTGACTCGCAGCAATCCGACCCACCCTAAAATCTATAACGAAGGTCCTTCATCTGCAGGCAAACTCCAGGGTGCAAGATACACACATGATCTGTTGTCCAAAAAGTCGGCCATTGATTAGATCCAGCTGTGGTAGAATTGGAAGACAAGTAAGCCTGAAGATAAGGAGACCTGACAGCGAGAGGAATAGCGGGAGGGTGAAAGGATTGGCTCAACCCCAGCGGGGCAAATCGGAGTGCAAGAAGGACACAAAGAAGGCGGAACATGTTTACTCGTTAGTCCGTCTACAGTCGGTTGAAGAATTTATTTGAGAAACTTTTAGTGATTAGCATGGCCCCCGAGATGGCGTATCGGGAACACAGTTGAGGTAGAGCCTACACTTCTATTTCGGGCCATCGGTAGGTGGATAGTTTGTCTCAATTCAGTAAGACAAATCGGGGAGCAAGAATAGAGATACTTACAAAGAATATCTGCTGTTCCGTCCCATGCTTGAGAACTGTCAACAAAGCAAGAACGCGATAGATTATGCCGCAAGCAGTGAGACTCCCGAGGCAATAGAAGGGGCACTGGAGGTGATGCACTGTAAACAAACTCCCGTTCCTAAGCTGTGAGATTGCGATCAGAGCAGTTTCTTTTTCATTTCATCTCCTCTTTGTTTATAATCTTATCTATCAATAGAGCAACTCTGTTCACCGATGAAATACCTTGATCTCGCTAGCTATCTGAGATCTTT